ATTTTAATGAATTTCATTACCATAAAATTGTATTATACCAGCAAAATCCACATGCCTAGAAATACAGACTTCCGATTTAAACAAAATATACTTCAATCATTTTGCACAAATTAATTAGCGTTTATGCTCCTGACTGAATTTGCAAGAACTACTTCAGGGAGCAGTTTTGCTTCATTTAAATTAGATGATGGCTTGTAGGTCCATATTTTGCATAAGTGAAGTATACAGAGTTTTGTACAAATGCAGTTGTTACAAAGTCACTCTTAATTGCTTTTTCTTGGGCTAGTGGCTGAGCAGAGTTAGGATCAAAACAATGTTGCCAGCCCACAACGGGAGACTGTGAACACTTGAACCACCATAGCATATGGTATGGCTGGCAAAGCAAGGGTTTACAGCAACATGAAATATGGGCCAGCATAATTTCTTTTGCTGGAATGCACTGCTATTGATGACAAGATATATTTGCATGAAGTAGGCAACTTAATTTTCAGTATAATTTTATTGCACATTAGCCTGAAAATTGCCAATATTAGCAGATGAGAATGAATAGATCAGAACTAAATCTGGTGACTTGACATTCCTTGATCTACTATTTTAACACAGACAAAAACTTGTTTTAAGAAAACTTCCTTATAACATGAGATTCAAACACAGACAACCCAACGATTATGAGCAGGGATTTTTATTCCCTTGGCATCAGGTCATTACAAGCATAAAGGGAAATTAAGATTGAACAAGGAAAACACAGTATTTACATGGAATTAAATTTGTGTTTAACATGTCGTTGAGGAAATCCTTGGTCTTATTATTATCCCCATGACCCCCTTTTCTCCAGACAGGATCAGTTTGCCTGCTCCAGCTGTCCTGCCCAGGGCCTGTCTCCCACTCCTCCTGCCCAGGGTCCTCCCTCACCAATACCATCTGCTGCTCTGCACAACAGCTTGAGCTGCCACCATCACCATTGCCACAAAGAACTGCAGATACCGGAGATCTGAAACCAAAACAGAAATTGCTGGAGAAACTCCAGCAGCATCCAAGGAGAGAAATCAGAATTAATGTTGAGTCCAGTGACTCTCCAGACTGCTAGCAGAAGGAAAAAAAGTGGTATTTATGAACTTGGGGAGGTAGTGGATAGTTGGAGATACAGTGGAGAGACACAGAGATAACAAGGACATTTTTCGATAGCAGGCCAAGACCGAACAAATCTGCATACATGGAAATGAGCCCAAGTTTCCAATTGCCGGTCACTTCAATACACTACCTCACTCTTTAGTTAACATCTCTATCTCAGGCTTGCTACAGTGCAAGCTCAAAGTACAGCAACTCATCTTCTGCTTAAGGACCCTGCAGCCTCTAGGATTCTATATCAAGTTCAATAACTTTAGAGCCCAATTGCAACCTTCCATGTTTTTTTGCCCAACCCACACCTGGTCTTGAAATCAAACAGTAGAGGCAGTAGCTATGAGGGTTCACTGCTGAGTCAGACAGCTGTGTAGATTGCTTTGAGCACTTCTGTCATCTCCAATTCGAGATCCTCAAACACTTCCGCCAACTCCAATTGGAAAGTCCTCACTTTCCACCCCACCAGCCTCCGCATCCAGCGAATCACCCTCAAACAATCCCGCCGATTCCCATTATACCCCGCCACCTGGAACAGCGTCCACTCCCAGGGGTGAGTGCGCGTGAGGGCGTCATGAACCCAAGAGCCTGGTTGAGGCCATCCTCACACGTACTGAACTTGGCTATCAGCCTCCGCTCAGTGACGCTGCCTCGTTGCGTATCCCGAAGTCTGCCTTGGAGGACGTTTACCCGAAAATCCAAGACTGAATGTCCTTGACCATTGAAGTGTTCCCCCACTGGGAGGGCGCATCTGTGTCTGGCGATTATTGCACAGTGTTCATTTAACAGTTGTCATTGTGTCTGCATGGTTTCGCCAGTGTACCACACCTGCAGTGTATGAGATAGACAACGTTGGCAGAGTCACATGAGTATCTGACATGCACGTGGTGGGTGGTGCTCCCATGTGGACAATCTGACATGTCTTGCAGAGGTTGCCATGACAGGGTTGTATAGTGTTGTGGTTGATGTTGTCCTGAAGGCGGTGTAGCTTGCTATGAACAATGGTCTGTTTAAGGTTTGGCGGTTGTTTGAAGGCGAGATGCTCATCATTGATAATGTGTTTGAAGGCTGCAAAGAACGTAGTATCTCTGCTCCCAGGAAGTATTGGACAACAAAAGGGCACCCTATCAGACATACCCCATGTCTGTCTTCTGAGGTCATTGCGGTTTTTCGCTTTGGCACACTGGAACTGGCAATCGATGAGTTACGCATCGCATCCTGTTCCTATGAGGGTATCCATCTCGTTCCTCCTCATCCGAACAGATCCTGTATATGCGTAGGGCCTGTCTGTAGGGGATGGCTGTTTTAATATGTTTAGGGTGGAAACTAGAAAAATGCAGCATCGTGAGGTTATCCATAGGCTTGTGATAGAGTGATGTACAGAGGTGTCCGTCCCTGATGGAGATCTGTGTCCAAGAATGAGACTGATTCTGAACAGTAATCCATGGTAAGTACGATGGTGGGATGAAATTTGTTGATATTGCTGTGTGTTGTTTCAGTGATTCCTCGCCATGAGTCCAATGGAAGAAAATGACTTCAATGTATCTGATGTACAGGATTGGTTGGAGGTTCTGTACATTAAAGAACTCTTGTTCGATCCTGTGCATGAAAATGTTGGCATATTGGGGAGCAAATCTGGGCCTAATGGCTGTTCCATGTGTCTGGATGAAGAACTGGTTGTCGAAGGTGAAGATGTTGTGGTCAAGGATGAAGCGGATGAGTTGTAGGTTGGTGTCTGGAAATTGGCAGTTGGTGGTATTGAGTACTGAGGCTGTTGTGGCAATTCCGTTGTTGTGGGGGATACTGATGTAGAGTTCCGAAACGTCCATTGTGTTGAGGAATGTTCCTGGTTCGACTGGTCCATGGGTGCTGAGTTTCTGTAAGAAACCCGTAGTGTCGCTACAGAAGACGGGGCATTCCTTGTACAATGGGTTTTAAAGGTGCCCTTGACGTAGCCAGAGAGGTTCTCATACAGGGTCCTGACACAATGGATGTCCAGTGTGTTGGCTTTGTGTATCTTTGGAAGGCAGAAGTCCCCTACATGGGAAGAGAGTGCGTAAGGTACTCTGAAAGACTGGATCAAAAGTCTTGACCAGTCTGTTCAGTTGATGGGTGTGTTCTTTGGTTGGACACGCACACATACACACACATGAATCTATGGGGTGAATTTGTATTTGTAGATACATTTGATTTTGTTCAAAAAGCACACAATTTATAGTCAGTAAGTCAATAAGTCAATATGGCATTTTATAAATTCCTACTTCAGAAATAAAACCAGTCTGACTCCAAACCAAAGCACAAAGCACAAACAGATTCGAAACAAGGCCTCACAACTAACATGCATTGCCTGTCCTAAAATGTCACCTTTTCTTTACACTGATAAAACTCTTAGTTCTAGATAACAGTGTGGAGCTGGGGGAGCACAGCAGGCCAGGCAGCAGAGGAGCAGGAAAGCTGATGTTTTGGGTCGGGACCCTGGACAGTGACTTGAAAGGAATTTGGGGATTTACATAGACATATCAATTAAAACCTTCTAACTGATTAAAGATTTAACAGCATCTTAGGTTTATTACAGTGAATCTTTGGTCTTTTACCTATAAATTTTGTGTCTGATACTACTTCTCTCATTAACAGCTGAAGGAGGACTGAGGCTCCAAACGCTTGTGTTTTCAAATAAATCTGTTGGACTATAACCTGGTGTCATGTGATTTCTTACCTTATTCTGGATTACAACAGGGACCACAACTACAAGTAAAAAAGTACTACATTGGCTATGAAGTGCTTTGGGATATCTGGTCACTACAAGAGGCTCAATTTAAATGCAAGCTTTTCTTCCCCAAAACCCAGAAGAATAGAATACAAATGGTAGAGGCCATGTTTCCATGAGATGATACAAAATCCTGGTTAAACCACACTTGGAGGAGTAACTGACAGCAATCTAGGCACCAAACCTTGGTAAGGATAATTTGGCCTTGGAGTGAATACAGCACATGTTTATTAGATTGATATTTGGACTCCTAGGATTATACTTTTGTGGAAGAGATAGCACAAACCATTCTCCAGAATTTAAAATATTATAAAAGGTGATTGATTTTTGTCACCGTACTTCGGTACATGTGACAATCACTTTCAAAGTATTGAGGGGAAAATGATAGAGTTGATTGGAAGAAAATATTTCAGCTTGGAGAGTTGAGGACTATAGTTTTAAAAACTTTCAGGAGTGAAACTTAGATGCACATCTTCAAGCAGAGGATGATCGAACTTTGGAACTTATTTCCACAATAGCAATCACAAAATTTCAGAGATTGATCAACTTCTGCTAAAATTGGGTTGCAAATAGGCCGTAACTTAAATGAATGGCAGCACAGATTCAAGAGTAGATGGTTTACTCCTGTTCCTATGGTTTTTCTCACATCCTGATTTAACATTGTCCTTCTTGATACTTCCTGGCTCAGGCACTGATGACAATGATCATCTAATCCAATTCCTGGATCTGTTCACACATGTTCTATCAAGCTTGCTGCACTATCTGGCTGACAAGTGCTGGCTGTGTTGAAACCTAAAGAAAATTTAAGAACAATGGAATTGGCTTGCTCTTAGTTATCACCTCACAAAAGGTGTTGAGGAAAGAAAATGGCTGAGGTGGTAGGGGCAAAAAATCTATAGGGAAGCAAGCATGGGCTTAGCACTTGTAGTTTTGAAGTAAATCAGTGTTTTTCACAATTGCTTCTTGCTGACTTTTATCTTTTTGTCAATTCAAATATACAAAAAGGTGCTAATGCTTGCATTTTTGAACAAATATGAAGTACAAATGTTTGAATTATTTATAGCATACAAAATACAAACTTCACTAACAATAAATAATTAGAAAAAATCCTTACTTCTGTTTTACCAGTTTCTCTAATTCTGGGAGCTGTTCCTTCAAAGCAGGAATCATCCGTGAGTCATCTGACACAGACACATAGAACTCCTACAAAATCAGACATTTCATGTTATACAGTTATATAGCACATGTCTAACCTATGACTGTGTCTAGTAATGTTCAGTAAGCACTGGATAGTGAAGAGATATCTTATTTCACTCTGTGGAGAGTAGGCACCTTTTGAATTATAGCAACGTCATTGTCCAAAGTCTGATAGCAATGAGATGTATTAAAATGCAAAGCCAGTAAACATCATGCCCATGAACATTAAATCAATCCTACCTTCCAGCATATTGAATTATACTTAAGATTATGGTAATTTTATATAGTGTCTTTTACATAATTTATTGGAAGGCGATTGCATTTTCTGCTAAATAGTGTAAAGTTAGTTCTCAAAAATGTTAATTTTAGTAATTTTAATAATTAACAATTAACGGTAGGGCCCTGGGTAATTATTGAACAAAGAGAACTGGGGGTTCAGGTACATAATGCTTTGAAATTTGCGTCACCGGTAGACAGAATGGTTACGTGTTTAGCATGCTTCCCTTCATTGCTCAGACCTATGACTATAGGAGTTGGTGAGGCCTCTTCTGGAGTACTGAGAGGAGTTCTGGTCACCCTGTAATAGGAAGGATATTATTAAACTGGAGAGGGTTCAGAAAAGATTAACTGCGATGTTGCCGGGAATGGAGGGCTTGAGTTATAAAAATAGACTGGAAAGACTGACTTATTTCATTGGAGCATAGAAAGGTTGACGGTGACCTTATAAAAGGTTTATGGAATCATGAGGCACACAGATAAAGGTGAATGACAAGGGTCTTTTCCCTAAGGTGGAGGAGTTCAAAACTACGGAGCGTATTTTTAAGATGAAAGGAGAAAGATTTAAAAAAGGACATGCAGGGCAACTTTTCTTTTTACAGAGTGGTTCGTGTGTGGAAAGAACTGTCAGAGAAAGTGGTGGATGCAAGTACAGTTAGAATGTTTAAAATTCATTTAGATCAGTTCACGAATAGGGAAGGTTTGGAAGGATAAGGGCCAAGTGCAGGCAAATGGGACATGGTCGGCATGGTCTGGTTGGACCAACGGGTCTGTTTCCATGCTGTATGGCTCTAAGACAATGTCTCTAATGAAAAAAAGAGGTTCATTTTTCTATGTCTTTTCCCTTTTCAAAGTAAAGCATAAAAAGATGTGCTCTATCAATAAGCACTGTAGTCCTTTAAAGTGAGAATTAGTTATAATGCTTAAATTTTAGCAAGAAGGAAACACAAAATAACATACCATCAATTTTATTTTTGTTCAAGTCATTATATACACTATTACAGGAGTGAAGTAAGCCACACGAGAGCATAAACTCTCATCAAATCATGTGCTTGAGAAATGATAAAACCTTATCACACAGAACATTGACATGAGCTTTAAAGTGGCGCCTGTTACTGACTTGATTTATGCTGTAGACTTTATATTTTTATAACCAATAATTTTGTCTGCATCCTTGCTTTAAAAGAAAAATAAACATTACAGCTCAATGATAGAATAAGGTTTATTCTATAGCTGACACATGTGCACCATCTAGTGTTTAACTGGTTAGTTTTTCTTAACATTTTAATTTCTTTGGAATATTTTCAAAATGTAATGACTAATCAGATTTTTCATAGCTCAATCCACCATCTTTTTGACCTCCCCTTTCACTAAAACACACATGCAAGCACATGCACACTCGCACACCCCACACATACACAGGATTAACATGCAAAACAAATGCAATCAAACAAATATTGCAGTTTCAACATGTTATTAGTTTATCTTGCATGTATCAAGGATAATCCATTACAGGATTGTTGGTTTCAAAAGAAGAATTCCAAGTTTATAGTTTAAAGATAAGGAAAAAGGCAGAAAAGAAAGCACTCTGGTCAGCTGTTGGGAGCATTCAAGTTCTCTGATAAAGACTAATAGTAGAAAGATTATTTTTTAAAATGTCTACTTTGAGGTTCTCTGGGTTTTCTTTTTAAAGAACTTCAACTGCATCCTTTCATGAATATCTCAAAGGCAATTCAGAACAAGTCTTTAGTCATTTAAAGATAAGCTAAACAACATAGGTTTCCATAAACATGAGTTGAACTAATTATTGTGGTAAAATACAAAACGAAGACAGAAACTGTGAACCATAGGGATTGAAGTCGAAGCACCTGCCATTACATTCTTGCTGTCATTAGGTACTTGCTGTACAGCTATAATAGCATAGCAACTACGATGAATAGCTCTTCCATGGCAGCAGGCATGACCTATTCATAATAAAATGCTGGATTTAATGTCCAACATGGGACTGGATTTTCAGATTCTGTTGGTGCAACAAACAGAAGGCAGCAAAGACATGACGATCCCCACGGGTGCCCCAGCTCCATCCTGGTCCTGAGTCACTTCTGTGAAAGCAGCATAGAGGGGGAGTGGCAGGGCTATCCCGCTACACATATAGGTTGCTACGATGAATCGTTGAGAGTCTATTGAGAACTAATTATAGGAAGCCAATTGGGGTGTATTTTCCAAGTTAGCTGCCAGGTCCACTTGAGAACTAGTTAGTTTTCATGGAAGTAGCCACTCGGTAACTGGCCTAATATTGCCTCCCTTCCACACCCCGCCAAATCCAATAGCGTCACCGAATCGTCACAGCACAGAAGGAAGCCAGTCTATCACGTAGTACAGGCTCTTAGCATTCTAACTTAGTGTGAAACCCCTCCCTTTTTCCATGCACATTGAATGATTATTTCAGGTGAAATAATGTCCTCTTGAATGCCTTGTGAACGAAGCTCCACTATCACTCAAGGCAATGCATTTCAGACCCCAATCATTCGCTGTTTGAAAAAGATATTGCTCACCTTGCATTTCCTTCCTTTGCAAAGCACTTAAACTGTGCCCTCAGTTTCTCAACCCATTTGAGAGTGGGAACAGCTCCTCCCAATTCATTGCTCATACAACAATGCCCTGGCTACAAGGTCCTACCTTTCTTAAAATTTAAATTTTGACAAAAATAATGGGTACTTCCATTATGAAACACCTTTCCCTATGCTCTACGGGGCAGTCTATCACTCCTTTCAAGCTGGAAGTTCTCTAATTGGCTCTCTAGCTTTAACAGCCCAGCGCCCATGCCAACTGGACAGTAAGGCTAGTTCTGGAAGTGCTATGAAGGCTGGAGTTGGTGACTAGTCCCTCAAAGATAGATAGGTTCTTGATTAGCGAGGGGATCAAAGATTATGGGGAAAAGCAATAGAATGGGGTTCAGAAATATGTCAGCCATATTGAACAGTGGAGCAGACCCAAAGGGCTGAATGGCCTAATTCTGCTCCTACAATCTTATGGTATCATTCACCATCCTTCCACCTCCTGCTCCAACAACCCTCAGGAGCAGGGAAAGGCTTGGGAAGCTGTCCCAACATCAGTTTGCTTTTACCACAGCCTATTCCATGCTGCCTATAATATGAAGAGTTAGGGGAATGATTGAATCAGAAGCAGTATGTTAACTATAGCACTGTACTGACTTACATTATATTGGTGACTTAAACCATTATAGCTGGCAGAGCAACTCTAGCACTCTGAACATAGCTACCAGGACGAAGACAAGATTCGCCAGGGTTACTGCTCCTTTTAATACTTCTTGCATTTGAGAGAGAGAAACCACCTAACTCCTCTCCTTCATACATCATACAGGCACATTCATCCAGTAATGTCATATGACATGACATTGGACAAGAACACCGACATTGCAATCAGGTACTCAACTCTTCGTTTGGAAAATTTTCATTATAAAAAACCTTACATTTCTTTCTTTTCTCCCCTGCAAGGGCTACGTAATATTCATGCAGACTGCTGACATGCTGTGTAAATGCAATCATCTCAAATACGAAAGTTGGAATGTGATATTGTTCAAAATATTGAGGAAAGAATAAAAGGAAAAAATGACAATTTATTTAATAGAGCTAAATATTAAATAGAGGGTAATTCACTCAGCTTACAAAGAGAAGGAATACAGTTATGGCAAGGACAATTGGGCAGTTTCTATAATGGGTGCCCAGTTTACAACTCTGGTTTTACACTGTGGCAGTCAGTCGAAATTTACTCAATATCTTCGGTCATTGTAGGACATTGGATCAGAAATGGAGATCAGCAACATACTGACATATGGTTTGTACAACCAACCAAAATACTGGAAACATTATGGAAATTGTTAATTATTGTGCAACTCCTTATAAATAAATTGTACATTTATTCACTGGTCAGAAATTGAATCTGGTATAAATTATATGACTATTGTGCAGATATTTTGATCTTGGATTGCAGTACTTACTTCAAGAAATGCAACAGCACTGTCTTCCTCTTGTAAGAGATCTGCATATACCTTTGCCCAGTGTAGGACAAGGCGGATGACCCTTCTCTTGTTATTGAGGGCATAGTCCAATTTCTCCTGCTCTGTACCTTGCAATGCTTCTGCATGGTAAGTACACATATGTTAAAGAAATTCACATAATATTGAAGCAATGTTTGTAAAACCATCAATTTGGTCCCATTCAGATGTTATTGCATTTAAGATCCATTCATGTGAATAATCACTACCAACTTTGAACAGATTTATTTTGTTTAGAAAAGGCTTAAGAGATAACTTTTGAATACTGAACACTGAAAACAAAAATGCATTTTACTCATGTGACTTTCTTCCCAGGAGGCAGAGCAAAAAAATATAATCATTAGCTTTGTGGCAAGAAAACTAGAATAGATAGAGAATGGATACGCTATGAAAAATAATTACTATGCTGGCTTAGTACCACAGAACCTTAGAATGCCTACAGTGTGGAAGGAAGCCAGTCAGCCCATCAAGTCTGCACCACCCTCCATAAGAGCATCCCATCCAGACCCATGCCCCCAGCATATCCCATAACCCCACATTTACTGTGGCTAATCCACCTATCTTACACATTCCTGAACACAATGGATAATTTCAGTACGGCCAATCCACCTAACCTGCACATCTGAGGGGGGAATCTGGAGCACCCAGAGGAATCCCAAGCAGGCACAGGGAGAATGTGCAAACTCCACAGTCACCCAAGGCTGGAATCAAACCTAATTCCCTGGCGCTGTGAGGCAGTGCTAACCACTGGGTCACTGTGCTGTCCATAATAGTAGGAATTGTATGTTTTTGACTGCAGGTGAAAATGTTGAACTGCAGTTATTAAGTGGCATTTACGTTTAACCTTTCTCTGTGATGTTTCTCCAGGTTTAAGCAGGTCTTCAGTCAGTAGGATAAAATCCTGCTCGCTGGCTTCAATACAAAAAGCAGGTTCTAGAAACCCCAGCTGCTAAACAGTACTAGTATGGAATGGGTTAACACCAGCACTGAAATCTATTTTTGGTGCCGCAATTATGTTGAGAGCTTGCACATAATTGTCAGAATCAAAGGCTCATACAGATATTTTGTGCACAGCACTCACCTGTAATTCTTATTCTTTTCTGAAAATTTAATGTCTCAATCAAGCATCTGAGTAATAACTATGACTGACATTGCCATTTTAAAAAAAAACTTGCAGAGTACTCCATTTTGAACAATTAGCGTTACAATCCATGGGAAGAATACCTGCAAAATTAGAATATATTTTAAGGAACACAAGAAAAGGATATTGAGCCATTAGGGCTGGGTAAAGCTGGCTGTGTGGCATAAAAATGCAGTGCAACAGAACAAAGTCATCAAGGCATGGATCTGTCAAAAAAACTGAAAATAAAAAAACAAACAAAAAAAATAATCAGCATCCTTTTGAAAATTCAAGAAATTATGGAATCTTAGTTTAAAAACTCCCCTATTCTAGAAATTATAATTCATTAAAACATCTCCAAATTACACAGCCATTGAATTATGTTGTAAAACCTCTGTACCTCATTTTTAATGAATTTCTCACACCATGCTCTGAAAATTATCCATTTTATAGTTGTTGCTTTCAGAGTCAAAGTGATTAGCACAGAACTATACAATAGAACTGATTAAATATAATTCATACCATAGAAGTGTGCATCAAGCTTTTGTACTTTCACAAAAATTCAACTTTGTACAGGTCTCAACAGATTGAAAAAGGGCCTCCTAATTTGAAGGAGCTTGGAACGAAATGGACTTGATTCATACAAACAATCTCATCATTTCTCAAAACAAGTTGTGTAACAGAAAATGTGCGCCAGCGCTGGAAGGGTGGGGTTAAAGTATCCCTGAAAGATACTCTGTTGGAAAAATACAACCTGAGGAATATTATCTCTAATTGGCAGAAAAAGAGCAGGAGAACACTTAAAATTGGGCAACACAATTTTCCACTGCATTCCAGATTCCACAATGCAGCGTCACTTGTCTTAGTGGAATACTTTTATGGGAACCTGAAAAAGTAATGCAAATTGAACTCCTATGACCTATATGGGAATCTTAACTTGCATTTACAGAGCACCTTTAATATAGCTAACAAAATCATAAAGAAGAAATTGGATCAGGTTTCATGGCAGCAAGCTGTCTAACAGCAGTTGCAACTGTTAGATTTGCTCTTCAACATTTAACTTGTTAATTTGTCTTGGTAGCTTATTTTTATTTTCAATGGAGATTGGGTGGCTAGGACCTGAATGAGTAGGGCAAGGAACTCTGTGAAACTGGCAGTGCAAGGACTGAGGAGAACATGCAAATTAGAGTGGGTGATGTCAATAATAGTTACAGAAAAGTCAAAAATATTAGATCGAGGGGAATAAAAAATACAGAAATGACTTCATTTAAAGAAAATAAGGTTGGCATTTGTTAAATTTATAACTTGAAATAATGAGACTTCACAGTTGAGATAGTCAACTTTCAATGCCAGAGAAGTTGTTCAATAATAATTAACAATTAACAGATTGTTAACAGAGTACCTACATGGAAATTGTCAACATTTAACTTTCGGTCGCAAGTCAAGTCCTTTCTGGACAATTTGGACAGCAACATTTGCATATTGACATTTAACTGCATATTTCTCTCTCCTTACCCAAACAGTTTCCTAATGTATCCTGATTGTCAACCAGCTCTGTTCACCCATCACTACTGCAATTGCAGGCTTCCAGGTCAGTAAGGTAGCAAGGCGTAGAGCTGGATGAACACAGCAGGCCAGGCAGCAGAGGAGCAGGAAAGCAGGAAGAAGGGTCCAGACCCGAAAGGTCAGCTTTCCTGCTCCTCTGATGCTGCTTGGCCTGCTATGTTCATCCAGCTCTACACCTTGTTATCTCAGACTCCAGCATTGGCTGTTCGTATGTCTCAGTTCAATAAGGTGTTGTCTTTCAAATTTTCATTCTAGTTTTCAGATCCAGGCAAGGCATTACCCCTCCATAACTCTAGAACCTCCTCTTGATATCTAACACCAAGATAATCCTTAACACTACCACGTTAAGCAACCTTTTAGTTATAGAATCAGACGTACAGCATGGAAACAGACCCTTTGGTCCAAATCATCCATGCTAACCAGATTTCCTAAATAGATCTAGTCCCATATTCCTCTAAACCCTTCCTATTCATATAGCCATCCAGATGCCTTTTAAATGTTGTAATTATATCAGCCTCCACCACTTCCTCTGGTAGCTCATTCCGTATATGCACCATCCTCTGCATGAAAATGTTGCCCCTTAGGTCCTTTTTATATCTTTTCCCTCTCACCTTAAACCTATGCCCTCAAGTTTTGTTCTTCTCCATCCTGGGGAAAGAACCTATCTATTTACCCTATCCATGCCCCTTATGATTTTATAAACCTCTATAAAAGGTTACCCCTCAGCCTCCGACACTCCATATCTGCTGAATTATGAGCTGTTCTGTGAATGGCACAGGATAAGATGGGGCAAGAAGTGGACATGCGAGATGGAATAGAGGCAGGACAGGCAGTTAATGCAGTGAGGTTGGTCAGATATGGTGAGAAAACCAGCTAGGCCTCCTAGTGGAAATCCTCCAATAAACTCTTTACAACTCAGACTGAGCCAACATAAGATTCAGCCCTATTTGTCTATTAACTGGGGGGGGAAAATATTCTTGAGAAGAGAGGTGGAGAAGTCTTGTCATTTGTTGGGATCTGAAACAGATTACCCAAAAAAGGTGATGGAAGATGATTCTAGAAATCATTTTAAAGGCAGTTGAACTGGTCTTTGAGGATGAGGAACTTACAGGATTAAGGGGAAAAAAAAACAGGGATGTGGAAGTAAGCACAACATGACTTTCAAATTCTAGTACAGGCACAATGGGCCAAAGAACCTCTTATTACTCATTCTCAACTGACCTGGAGAAGGTGATGTTGAGCTGCATTCTTGAACCACTGCATTCCCTGGGCAGAGGGACACACAATGCTTTTAGAAAGGAGAAATTCCTGGATTTTGATCCAGTGATAGTGAAGGGATACTATCATATTTCCTAGCCAGGATGGAGAAGTGGTGCTCTCATGTATCGGTTGCCCTTGCCCTTTTAAATGAAGAAGCTCTTGGAGCAGCTTTGATGAATTCATCAGGCCCAATGCTAGACTGAACAAAGTTAATAATGAGCAAGTATAATTTCAAAAACTGTTGCTTTGTTTGTGACACTTAATTTGATCCTTGGCTATGAAGGAGCACTAATAAGTAATTATTGGTTGCACCTCAAAGAATCATTGTTTAATCCTAGGAAAAAGCAGAGGTGAATGGGTTGAACAAGCATTGCATTGAAAGCTGCTGGTTATTAAGCTGGGACTGAGTTGGTATATATAGGGTGATTTAAGAACAAATTTAGAAATCATTACAAGGAATTTTTTCTAAAAAAGGGAAATGAATTTAAGAACAATAATGATGTTTAAATATGCTAAAATGTGACGTGAAAGGATTCAGATTTAAAATCACAATCCTCAGTCAGAACTGTCAGCAATAGCTGTGCAAATTAGGAAATAGGTCTCACACAGGACAGAAACTCCATATTCAAACATTGGGACACAAATGTATCCAACTGAGCTGCTCTTGTGCGCCTACTAGTGGCAAGAACAATTGTGCAATGGCAAAAACTGACAACAGATTTGTGCTCACCCTCACCCTTCCTCTCAGTCAGGGACCATGGTGGAGGGACACCTGAAGGAGGAAAAAAAAAGTACCTCAAAAATGTGGCAGAAAGTTTAAAATACACTTTCTATTTCAGATCTCAATAACAATTATATTTTGAAGTTTTTGAAACATGTTTCTTGTTAAACTTATGCTTGAACACAGGGTACAATTGTGTTTTTAACTGATTTTTATTTTTCTGGGGTTCCTTCAATTTGTTAGATTAACACTGAAGTACAGTTCGCTGAATCACTCACTATGCTCCAAGATAGTTATTCTCTGATTTCAATTAAGTGCTCTTGCTTCATGAGATTCCAAACAGAAGGAACTAGAAATTAATGTATTCAGGTCTCTTTTCATAAAGAAAAATTAGCTCTGATGATTAAAAATGGCATGTAGCATGTGCTTGCTCACTGATGCTGGGAAAATGTCACTTGCTGAATTGGTTAGGACATCCAGGGATCATATACTGCACACAGTTGAAACTAGCAATAGGCTAACTCAATTTGCATTGAAAATAAACAAAATTAATACATTACTTTTATAAACAAAAATAGTAATCTCAATGTGAAAAGATACTATCCAATACTTGTAAAGTACACACAATATAGAGGTAAACATTTCAGGATGTAGCATTAGTCTGAGGAGTAGACATCATCCTGCGTCCATTTCCAGCTTGAAGCTACTTCTAACAAGGCTTTCTGCCGTTAAGTTAGATCATAGCTAATCTGCACTTAACTCTATTTTCTCACTTAAAGTGGGATTTAAAGCCACAATATCTGAACTCTGATAGGAAAGCTAACAAACGAGCCAAGCTCAACCGGTCTCCAGATAAAGTCACTGAAAACTGCCATGCCGACAATCTCCTCCATTGACGGTAGAAAGGGAATATTCACCAATAAAGCCGAAACTAGTGCTTTCAGTACAGAGTCACAGATGATAAGGACATGATTTAATGCTAAAAGGTGAATTTGCATTTAAACAGCACCTCATCATTAGCTCAATGCTTCACATGCACTGAAGTCCTACAGTTAGACCTTTCAGGAATCTGCATAAAGTATTCTGCACACCGTTTCACCCACTGTGGGTCCAATGTTCACTTACCCATGATTTTCAGGAACTAAAAAAAAAAAAGAAAACTTGCTAGCAACGTCAAAAAAATGAAATGGTGCCTATGGAAAACTAAGAAACAAAAGCAATAATAACAGGAAACAGCATTTCTGTTATTGGGAAGTATGACTGCACATGCATCATCTTGCATATGAGCTCACATTATTCTAACAATTTATGGTGAAGTTTGACAAATTTTATTTTTATTTTATCACACTTTCTCCAGTAGAGCATCATATTAAAAACATTGCTTTTATTGAATTTTATCTTCTACTGTGCTCAAAAGTTTAAATGGTCTGAATCTATCCAATTGACTCCCATTACAAAATTCTTCATTTGTGAATTTGTCCTTTGCAAGGCCTTCCAGGTGCATAACCCCAGTAAATGGTTGGATTGTACTGTATAATAAATTACTTTGAAATATAGTGATACTTCTAAGTAAACGCAGCAGTCATTTTGTACACGTTGTTCATAAGAACATCAATAAGCCCAACAGTTAACTGTCTTTCGGTGTTCTTATTTTACAAAAGGTATCCTGGGCCTGTTCTCATTCTTTAATATTCCACACATAGCACGACAGGTAAATTGGTCATTGATCTAATATAGGATAAAGTATTGTGAAATGCTGTGCAAATCTACATTATCCACAATTTCTTAGGTGGAGCTTGAATTCTCAATCCTCTGTCTCAGAAGCAATTGTGCTACTAACAAAGCCAAGCTAATTCTGATGCACAGACTGCACATAGTGCTTAATTTAATTACATAGAAAACATCAATTCATACAAAATAATCCATTATCTAGCGAACATAACTATAATATTAAAAGAAAATAATTTGAGAATTCAGATTGGAAGAAAATAAATCATGAGACAATAATTTTCATGGTTTTTCAAAATACAAAAGGTAATTTTGATACAATTAGCTATATTTAATTTTAAAAATGCATTCCAGAAATTATAATACTAAGAAAATCAAAGATCTGAACCATTTTCCCCACATTAAGGCAATATTGAAAAGCAGCAAGTTACAACCTATTAAATTAATGTCTTTGGTGTTTTAAAAATCAAACCTGTCATTCCATTAGCAGGCAAATCAGGGCGTATAGTTTCCAGAAAGTGCTCTAATATCTTTTCAGGAGTTCCTGCCATCACTATGTATCTAAAGGGATGAGAGAATGACTTGATTAATCACAGAAAATGCAGTTTAAATTGCTGTGGACTTCCTAATTAAGCTGTTGTTAAAAAGGACTAAACAGATTATCAAGATAATTAAAGAAAGGAATCATTAAAATCAAGATGTTGACTTAGACAGTAATTAGCAGAATTTAATTTGTTCGTACAGTATAAAACATGTTACTGCTATAAATGACTTAAAAAGTAGAAGCTAATGCAAAATAATGATTAGAAGATTCTGGACTAGGGAAATCGAGCAAGATGTCAAACTCGACACAGTCGTTCAGATTTTAAATCACTTCTGGTGTATTGAAATTTTCCTATTATATTTACTGACTAGCCCATTCACAGGCCATAATCTTTATTTTCAATTGTGTAGTAATTTCTTTGGAGTGTCAAATTAAGTAAATAATCCATTTTTATTCTACCTGTACTTCATCTATTCCCCCTCTTATTCCATGATGGTGAAACTAAAACAGTTATGAATTGAAGTGATCACTCAGACCTCTGCAGCCACACTGATACTTAAGTGACATTCCCCACATTAGATCACAAATGACACAAAGTGCAATGCTATGGAACACCTACTTGTATTGTGTCTGTATGCTTCCCTGATTGGAAGGTCTGCTACCCATTGGTATCTTCTCCAAAACCAACACATCTCGTCCATGTTCTTTGAGTCTCACAGTATTGGCCTCAACATCCTGAAGTGCATTGTTGGGGTGGTATTTGACAGGAGAAAGGAAAAAATAAATCATAAAATGAATCCTGTTTTGTTCAACTGAGAAAGTATCTACTTACTTATTGACCGATTTAAATGGTCATTTTGGGCCTTTTATTATTGATCAATTACGAATAGCTTGCTACTCTATTACAAAGCATGTCAGACAGAGGCAAAATTCTATATAATTTTGTAATACTACAGCTTTAAGTCATTTTAACTGACGGTTTCAGCACAATGCATTTGATTTGTGTTTAAACTTAATGAAAGATGTAATACTGTACTGCAGATAATACTACAGCTTAGCTGTTAAATATGTTCTAAACTGATGTAATTTTCCACTGGAAAGATGCTTTTTGAGGGTTTTTAATTCAGTTCACTCCATCCTTCTAAACAGATTGCTTTGGATTTGTAACAAATGAAGAAAATTTATGGCACAGACAATAACAGTGCTGCAGATAACGATCAACATGAAACAGAGCTATGGGATTGTCATTTACTTAATGTCAAATCAGAATATTTAAAACACCTCAAACTGCAACATAATATGACCAATATATTAAATTTATTCCATTACAGTCATGGATTATAAGCATAGGTGGGAAATAGATCCCCAAATCCCTCATCAGGCCTTGACACTGAAAAGTCATCAACTCAGCTATTTAGCATCCATTCCTGTCTGAACATATTGTTCATTTTTTTTGAAAGTTCTTAAAATACAATAGATTAAACTCTCCTCAATGTTGTTGGGGCTACAAACAACTGCACAGTCTTAAAATAAAACTGTAGGCACAGAGATAGGCTATCAGACATAGAAGCAGAAATAGGCCATTCAGCCCACTGAATGAAATCATGGCTGATCTACTAACACTCAAAGCCCACCTGCCTGGTTTTTCCCTACAATTCATTTACTGACTAGAAAATCGGTCCATCTCAGCCCTGAATATAATTAGTGAGTCAGCGCTGGCAGCCTCTTTTGGTAAAGGAAACAATATCCTCTTCATCTCTGTCCTAAACAGGTAACCCATTGCTTTAAGATTGTGCTCTCCGGTCCTACTCTCCCACAAAGGGAAGCACACTCTCTGTATCTATCCTGTCAAAAAGGTTGTTGCTCATTCTTCTAAATTCCAATGAGTACATGTTCAACCTACTCTACCCCTTCCCAGAAGGTAATACCCAGGATCAGCCTAATGAAGCTTCTCTAGACAGTGTCCAATATCAGGGTATCTTTCCTTAGATAAGGGGACCAAAACTATTCATAGTATTCTAGGCGTGGCCTTGTATAATTTTGGCAAGACTTCCCTATTCTTATACTCCAATCCATTCTGAGGCCAATATCCCATTTGCTTTCCCTATTACACACTGAACTTGCATGCTAACCTTGGATGATTTATGCAGGACAACTCCCAAATCCCTCTGCGCTGCAGTTTTCTGCAGTCTTTCTTCATTTAATTAATTCAGTTTTTGTATTCTTCTTGCCAAAAGATTTTTTTTGATCAAAACAAGAATCCTGGAAATACTAAGAACTAGTATCACAATAAGTTTTGTTTCAGAAACTCTACACCAAAATTAAAACACATGGCCCCTTTAAGTTATGAAGTACAATATTTGAAAGCATTTTTGCTGAATAAAATAAGGTATTCAATCCACAATAGTTTCACCCTTAAAGTTATATAACATGATAGTTAATAATTATCTGAATGTTTCAGAACAGGTGATTGCCTTTATCAAATGCCACGAGATACTTGAAAATGGATTTACAAAAAAAGTAATATTTTTACTAAGATTCTGAATGTAAGCCATTATCAGAAAGTCTCTTACGCAAAGGATTCGATTAAAATCTTCTTTATCAACACGTAGAAACTGACAATTGTCCTCACGAAGCACTATGGAAGCTGCTCTTGGAGTATCGTTCACCAAAGCCAACTTCCCAAAATCATCCCCTTCTTGTAACGTACAGACTACTCCCTGCAACATTAGATCAGAGTCATTTATGATCATCAACTTACAAACCTTCATTGCTTTACAGTCAATGAGAAATCCATACGACTTTCCGGAATTTCTTGTAAACTTAATGAAAGGATGTTTTACACAGTAAAATATGATGCGCAAATATCAGGTTCATTTACATTTTAATTACTGTTGAGAGTTAAAGTGATTATAAATTTGCTACAGTTAATTATAGACAAGATGGCATGAACAAGATTGTACGCATCCCAGTTTTAACAGATAACAATATTTAAAAGATAAGATCTTCAAAACAATTTGTATGACCTTGACTAGTGTTAGTACTGCTAAATTTCCTTTCAATGTTCCCAAAATCATAATTGCGTAGGCCTGTGATTCTTCATACATGCTATAAAAGTTGACAAATCGAAAGTTGTACCTTGCCATAGATAACAACATTCACTGTGCCCTTGAGGATAATATACCATGAAGTGCCCTCTTCTCCTTGATTAAACACTGTATAAATATGAAAGCAACAATCATCCTATTTCAGTTGCACAAAAAACTTAACTTATTACAAAGTAAATGCAAAAAAATTGCGCATGAGAAGTTCTGAAGATTTGCTTTGCCTTTACGTTTTGCAGAATCTCAGTATATTTGAGAAATACCAAATAAATTAGACATGATAACAAAACAGAATTTGTCATTTTATATTTACATCATTAAAATTAGTGAAGGCAAGAAAATATAGCTTATAATAGAACTGTGCTGTTCCACTATGCATGAAGTGAAAATCTTCGTTGCGGTTGTAATAAATAATAAGACTGCAGGAAAGTATACAATACTTAATCTGTTGGCTAATTAATCAGTTTACGTCAATGCTTAATCACTTATGCATTTATCACCTCTTCATGAGGTTACAAATTAATTTTAAAGACATTGCAAAATTTAATGTTGGATTGATGTCAATTTTTACTCCCGTTTATAGAAGACTAAATGACAAAAAGATGGCTGGTCTGAAACATTAACTTTATTTCTCACTGCATAGCTGCTGAGTACTTCCAGAACTAGTTTTTATTTGGGATTAGTGGACCATCCATTTACATCACATTTTGCAGAAGTGTATTCCTTTACGTATTTGACCACAGAGAATGAGGGGGCCATTCAGCCCCTTCAGATTGAGCTGCCATTCTTGATCATGACTCATTATGTACCAAACACCATTTTCCTGCTGTATCCAAGTATCCCTTGATGTTTTCAGCACCTAGAAATTTATATCTCTATCTTGAACATGCGCAATGACTGAACTACCACAACATAATCACATAAAAGAACTCCAAAAATTCACTTCCTATGGAGTGAAGAAAGTGTTACCTCAGTCCAAAATATCTTGGCCCTTATTCTTATTAGTTAAGAGCTTTTAATTTTCAATGAGATTATCCTCAATCTTTTAAACTCCAGGGAATACAGTTAGTCAGGCTTGTTTCCTAGACCCAACTATCTTAGCTGCTTCTATGACCTTCCTTTCATCATAAGGTCAGAAATGGGACATGTTTGGTGATGATTACAATGTTCGGTGCCATTTGTGACTTCTGATATTGAAGCAGTCTGTGCCCAAATGCGGCAGGACCTGAAAAACAGTCAGGCTTAGGCTGACAAGTGGCAAAGAACTTTTCCACTGCACACATGCAAGGCAATGACTATCTCCAACAAGGGACAATCTAATCATTACCTCTTGAGATTCGATATCATTACTGGCTCTGAACCCCCAGGATATTGGTAACTGGGATGGTCATTGACCAGCCATATAAATGTTGTGGCTACTAATACAGCTAGAAATTCTGTGGCAAGCAACCCATCTCCTATTCCTCCAAAGCCTGTCCACCATCTTCAAAACACAAGTCAGGAGTGTGATGGAATACACTCAGTTCTAACAACACAAAAAACCTGACACCATCCAGGACAAAGCAGTCTGCCTGATTAGTTCCACATCCACAACTTTCAACATTCATTCCCTTCACCACCTATGCACTGTGGCAGCAGTGGGTACCATTTACAAGATGCAATGCAGTAACTCAATAAGGCTCCAATGACAAGGCTCCTGCAACGTCTACCTCCTGGAAGAGTAAGGGCAGCAGATGCATGGGAAGAGCCTAAGTCTTTCTGTCATCCAGCATCCTGACTTGGAAATATATCACAGCACTGCTCGGTCAAAATCCTGGAACTCCTTTCCTAACGACACTGTGGGTATTTCTATGCTCCAAGAATTGCGGATGCTCAAAAAGATAGCTCATCATCACCTTTCCTCAGGGCAGTTAAGAATGAACAATGAATGCTAGCCTAGCCAGCAATGCCACCATTACATGAACAAATATAAAAATAAATAGTCTCCTCAATCTCTTCTCCTAGGACAGTGCTGCCATCCCAGGGATTAGTTTGCTGAACATCTGCTCCACTCCCTCTTAAGGGCATCTGTCCTTCGGTATAGAGACCAAGATTGCACATAATACTCCAGGTATAGTCTCATCGAGGTTCAACATAAGTGAAGCAAGACGTGTTTTCTCCTATACTTCTTGCAGGAGAGGCTAACATACCATTTACCTTCCTAACTGCTTATCAATAGACTTCTGAAAATCAAAATACACCACTTCCTCTATTTCCACTTGTCTACCCTGCTAGTAACATTCTTAAAAAAACTTCAGATTTATCAAGCATGAGTTTTCCTTTAAGTTCATGTTGACTCAGCCCAAAAAGATCAGTATTATCCAAGATTGATTTTTTTGATCTGTGCAGTAAGTGTGCGATGGATGATTTCAGGGACGATTATAGACAAGAGACTGAAGACGCAAGCTGTGAAGCTCCGAGTGTGCTGATGAAGGGTCTCAAACCAAAATGTCGACTTTCCTGCTCCTCTGATGCTGCCTGACCTGCTGTGTTCCTCCCACTCCACACTGTATCAACTCCAACTCTAGCAACTGCCGTTCTTGTTATCTCCTGTCTAAACGGTCTGATCTGCAGATATCATGGGGTCAAGGGAGTCAATGGCAAGAGCATGGGGTTCATCTTTAGTGGCATCTACATTTTACTATACTTGAAGATAAGGCTCCTCCCAACCAAGCTGGCAAGCAGGACCCCTTGCTTGGAAGGTGGTTAATAAGGCCATTGGTGAATTGAAGCCCTTAGGTGACTGTTAATTCACCACTTAATTGGTTGCATTAAAAAAGTTACCCATGGACCTTCTTGCCCAGCATGTTGATCCTGAAATTGCAAGAATGGGAGAGTATCATTCCAGGCCCACTTGCTCGCTTATTTGCACTTACAGTCAGAGTTATACAGCACGGAAACAGACCCTTTAGCCCAACTCATCCATGCTGACTAGATATCCTAAATTAATCTAGTCCCATGTGCCAGCATTTGGCCCATATCCCTCTAAATCATTCCTATTCATATACCCATCCAGATGCCCTTTAAATGTTATTATTGGACCAGCCTCCACTACTTCCTCAGGTAGCTCATTCCATATTGGCACCACCCTCTGCATGAAAATGTTGCCCCTTAGGTCCTTTTTATATCTTTCCCCTCTCACCTTAAACCTATGCCCTCTGGTTTTAGACACCACCCACCCTGGGGAAAAGACCTTGTCTATTCATCCAATCCAGGCTTGTCATGATTTTATAAACCTCTAAGGTCACTCCTCAGCCCCTGACGCTGGAGGGAAAATAGCCCCAGCCTATTCAGCCTTTCCCTATGGCTCAAACCCCTCCAACCCTGGCAACAACCTTGTAAATCTTTTCTGAACTCTTTCTAGTTTCACAACATCCTTCCTATAGCAGGGAGACCAGAATTGCATGC